ATACTGAATGTAAGTGCATGTCTGCCTGTGTGTGTGTGTGTGTGTGTGTGTGTGTGTGTGTGCGTGCGTGCGTGCGTGCGTNCCCCCTCTAACACCCCCAACAGCCCCCCCCCATCCCACGCCTCTTCCACTACTTGAACCTCAGGCACAGGATACAGAGAAATAAAGAGACGTGTTCACATGCAGATGTTTATGTAAATGATGGATGCAATACAACAATCATTCATTGGGATATCACATTGCATGATTATGTAATTACACACGCTGGCTGAGACCCACCAGCGTGTGTAATTACTTAATGATGCAAAACTCTAAAGTGATATATTTGGTGAGCTGGTGATGTGTTTCAAAGAACGACTAGATACTGACTAATGCAATCTGATGGTATAAAATTAACCGTGATGAAACGTTGGGTAAAAGTGTCTTTACAAACGGAATGACATGCTAATAGGTAAGCCGCAGGTAGAACCATTATCAATGATACATTCTTTTTCTATTCTAGTGTCTTTCAGCAATGAAATATGATACAGATTTCAATGTCCAGCACAAACACGACATATTGATTTTTGTCAATTCACTGAACAAGAAAATTAGAAGATGTGCAATGTTGGGTTGTTTGTCAATTAGAAGGTAAAGTAAATACGTGCTACACTTATACAAAATAAATGTAAAGGCTCACAGGAAAACCCAAAGATTAAAGTGAATTTATAGTGTGCGATCGCCGGGTTAAATTAAGCTAGTTGCTGCCAATTCTCTGTCTCGTCAGTAAACCTCTGGTATAAACTAATCAGATGCAGACAAGCATGCACACACACACAGACACACACACACACACACGCACCATTTTACAGAAACACAAAGCACAGAGTAGCAAACACACAGACATCATTACAGCTTCTCACTGCTGATTAGGGCAGATCATTAGTCTCCAGAATATAATCCAGGCTTGATAGTAACCCACAAGCGAGAGGAATTCACAGCTGTGGGATTTCAGGAATGGTGAAACTAGACGATTGGCAGGGAGCGGGCTATTTCAGCAACACAACATTCCTATCAGCGAGGATTTAGACAAAAGGGCAGAATGAGAAGTGAGATTCTCAAGTTGAAATCATCATGTCAGAGCGGGAAAATACAGATGAATGAGCAGACACAAACACAGACGGACAGACAAACAAACAAATAGGCAGCAGACTGTTGAGAGGCCGTGTGTGTGTGTGTGTGTGTGTGTGTGTGTGTGTGTGTGTGTGTGTGTGTGTGTGTGTGTGTGTGTGTGTGTGTGTGTGTGTGTGTGTGTGTGTCTCATTCCAGTCGGCCCATGCCAGTGTGCCTCTCATTATTCTGATTTGGCTGTATCTCCTGTTGGCCTGTCTAGCGGGGGATAAGGCAGAAGGACTGTCTCTCTCTCACACTCAGCCCTTTATTATCAGGCTGGCTGGGCAGCGCAGGGCCGGGCATAACTTCCATGTTCACTAGCAATCAGCTTACAGGATGAAAAGAAGGGAACAAAAAGCTCTGGGGGGACGGGGACGGGGACGACGAGCAGGGAGAGGGAAATCAGGAGGGATGGATAGACAGAAACTGGGTGAAAAGGAGTGAAGAGATCAAGGAGTGAGCAGAATGGAAACAACACATAAAAAGAGTACGGAGGACGAGGATCCGTGTAATTGGAAAGAAATAAATGCATAAAGGAAAACTTAGTGGGCAAAGTGTGACATTTAACCCCGCCCTGACCCCTGTTAGGAGGTCAGGGATACAGAGCGCTGTCTGCTGTCATCAAGCCAATGATCTGCTACTCAGATTACAGCTCTCCACAGGGTCTCCACTGCAGCCCAGTATCGTTGTCTTTGATTGGCAAAAAGAGCCCCGGGACCTTCACTGATGTGTTTGAGTGGTACAAACTAATTGGTTTTGTTTTATTCCACTAATGTGAATGTGTGATGGTGTGTATGCACACAAACTGCCTGTAGTGTATGGGCGTGCGCACAAAGGCTTCCTATATGGTGGGAAACGCTGCGAGGAACGCACACACACACAATCAATCCACAAACACAGACGGCTCTGACACACATCTCGGATCTTGCAGACAGGGGTAGATATCGAAGCTGTCATTAGTTTGTTCATTAGTATTTGAGAGCATCCCAGCTGACACATGTTTAAGGTGGTTTGATCAATGAAAGCCCCACTTAATGGGAAGGGAAAAAAAGTAAAGCAAAAATCAGAAAAGGGAGGAGGTAAAATATCAAGAGACACATGTGGGAGACTGCTAAATGTCCATGCTGATGCACTGTTGCCCGACTCTAAACATTACAAAAAGATAAAAAACAATAGTTTTGGCATTTTAAAAAAAGAGTCAATGTGAGCCTGGAGGGATGTTACACTGATGCTCCCCTGCACACACAAAAGCTTAGAGACATGTGGAGACAGTAATACACATGTACTGTACACTCACACACTCATTCTCTCGTGTGCAAAATACACAAATACTCAAACACCCCTCTGCATTCATAACCATGCAAGGAAGCACGCACACACACACGTGCACACACATCAACACACTAATCCAAGCCGTCTGGTGCAGATCAATTGTTTTCCTGTGGTGGAAGGTCTCAGCTGAGGCACCTTAAGAGAACAGAGCGCAGCGCATGACGCCGTCTCCCTTCTCTCTGGTTCTTTACCTTAAGGAGATCTATCTCTTTGATGCAATCTTGCCGAGCTTTGGCATCCATCAAGTCGAATATCTATCAAGAGATCAAAAGGGGAGAGAGGGAGAAAGAGAGAGAGGACAGAGAGGGGTGTTATGACATATTCAAGTAATGCTAAGATGGAGAGATGTAAAAAATAAAACAGGGGGGGAAAAAATACTAAACCGAAAAACATGGTTGCTGTTATCTAGAGGGTGGCGTTGGAGTGACTACAGGTATTTCAAATCTGAGTAACACACACATATGCCTGTGTAAGGTGTGTGTGAGAATATGTGTATACATGCTCAACCAGAACACCATATCCTCATGTGGGTGTGTATGAGTGTAAGTCAGTGAATAATACTGAATGTAAGTGCATGTCTGCCTGTGTGTGTGTGTGTGTGTGTGTGTGTGTGTGTGTGTGTGCGTGCGTGCGTAATCTTCAAGACAGCTGAGTCACATTGTTAAGGTAGATAAGCCTTCACAGTCATGTTGCACTTAAAAGAACAATGGAATTTAGCAATTGTTTCATAAATAAAAGAACAGAATCTGCTTTTCTGTTCTTGTCTTTTTCAGCTTACTGACATGCAATTTATTTTTGAGAGTGTGTGTTTGTGTGTGGATTCATGACTTTTTCTTAAGTCGAATATATACTGCATGCAGGTGAGTGAGGTATTGTTGTGAAAGTGCCTGAAAGTGAGAGTATATTTGGCTGTCTGTTTGTGTTAGCCTAGTGACAGACTGACAACTTGTCTCGGGTTAACTCTTCATGAGGACATACAGAAAAAGCAAGAATGAAGAATAGTTCAACATCTCTCTGGCTGAATATTTTGGCTGCACCCGGTATCCAAAGTGATGTGTTCGACTGTGTCTCACCTGGACTTTTTTCAGGGCGACTGACGTGTTGTCTAACAGGTACCTTGCCCGCCACACCTCGCTGAACTGGCCACGTCCAATCTTCTTCTCAATCTGGAAGTTTGCCAGTGAGTTATGCCCCATGTCTGGTTGTAATGGTTTCTGAATAATAAAAAAAACACATTTTTAGAATTTGTGCACCTACACACAGCATATGCGCAAGGGGAAAAAGGATTAACGGACATTTTGCAAAATTATTTATCTGCCAACCAAGTGCAACCATCTCCACATTACTGAATGAGGAAATGTTGGTGAGGCCCCAGATTCTGTAAATTGTTTTGCTGAGAGGCTGCTCTAGGCTGCTGATGATTTGACTGGCATAAGGCTGATGTGAAGCTGAGAGTCCTTGTAAAATATGCACACCGCTGAACCATATTAGCTCATTTAAGCCCATAGATGGAAGAAAGTTCATTTTTCAAAAGTAGTTTACATAGATCATCGTGATCTATGACAGCATCATGCAGGACCTGGCAGAATGTCTTGGAAGTCACTGACATGTTGGCACCAGACATTTATTTCTGATTAATAGTTACAGTTTTTTTTCCATTGTTTTATATTTTTGATTGATTATTTTCCAATGTACTTGCTAGGCAGATAAATGAATCGCCACTGGTGGCATGGGTTCTCCTTAGTAGCTTAAAATGACCTCTCTTAAGATAAATTGAAAAAACGATTTCTCTAGAGGGACGTACAACATTTCACACATATTTCACCATCTAATCATTACACCTAACTTGGTTTTTAAGGTCAAAGGAATCCAGAGTCCTCTCCCTTCTTTTGTCTGACAACTTGTATTACTAACATTAGGGCCACAGACTAAAGGAATTCTCACGACATGATTTGTTGTCCAGGTCAGAGACACTCACCTTTTACTATAAATAAATAGAAAAAACATTCAAAAATAAATCAGAATGAGCCCCCAAGATATGATGTGTGAAAAAAAGCACATAGCAGCCTGTGTGACCTTTCCAGGATTTTGGTAAACGTGTACAAGGCTTCAGCGGGAGCCAACAGAAGGTGACAGATATCAGAATGCCACATGTCACCAGAACTTCTGCCAGTGTTGCCGTGGGAGCAGCTCAGGGGCAAGCTACTCGGTACAGAGGTGTGCAAACAAAGTGGGAAGAAGGTCATTAATTTCCCAAGCAATAAAACACATAAGGAAGACAATGAATCCTAAGGAAAAAACAGCAACTAAAAATCAAACCAAAATACTGAAAAAGGAAACTTGTTCACCTGTTAGTACGGCAGCAACCAATTATTATTTTTACTTTTGACCAATCAGATTTTCTTTAAAACTATTTTCTTTCAAATTTCATATTGCTGGTCCAGTCAAGAGTAATACAAAACATATTCATTTCATATTTGAAATAGCCATCCACTGATTATTTCAGCATTAGTGATACCACTAATAAGATAAGACAATAGTGCTGTATAATGCATTCATAAGGCAATGTTAAATGCTGCCATCACTCATTTAAATGTATGCAGACAAAACCAACCCAAAGACTGAACATTTCTTGCAAAGATTAACCAATGGATATATTTACAAATACAAAAAAACACACATTGACAGTGAAGGGAAGAACGAATAATAACACAATTGTTCATAATAGGTATGAGGCTGGGTGGTGGGGGTTGTTTTGGCAACCAATTTAAGCATTTCATTGTTTTTTCAAAGTTGAAAGTTGACAGCCAAAGGAAGACGAGTGAGCCAATTAGATGCCCAGTCCAATTAACACTTAACACCGTCGAGGTGTGTGTGCATTTTTCAGCATGACACCGCCATCACCGAGCTGTCTGAGAGTTACTGTGACAGAGAGCATGAGACACTGCTTCACAAACCTTAGTGCAACATCACTTCAGCTCGAAAAAAAAGAAAATGCTCTGTTAATAGCGACCACTGAATGTTTTAACAATAGTAACATATTGTTCACTTTGGACTTAAAGTAAACACACATAGAAGAGAGGTATAATACTTAAATAAGTAACAGGGTAGGACACATTGAAAGTGTGACCATATTGTGCAGTGACTTGTCATAATGGTGACAGAAGCATTTGTGCAAGGATGCAGGATGGACAGATCGAGGTATATACATTCAGAGACAGAGAAAGAGAGAGACAGAGAGAGAGAGAGAGAGTGAGATGGGGGGGCAAAGAGGACGAGAGGGCATTGCTTTCATTCGCTGCGTGGTAGCTTGACAAATGTTAGCATGAGCCTCTAAAGCGCTGTGACAACCGCCTGCTGAGAGCACAGTCTTGCTAATGTGTCCTGGCATGCCAGCCCCCTAATCACACATTTACATATGCAATGACCTACATTTGCATGTCAGATCGCACACTGTCCGGCATGATTAACAGTGGGCACTTCCCCGCGTGGAGTCGCCCTGGGTGGCAGCAGAGGCCGTGCGAGGGCAGAAGAGAGGGCTGGAGGGAGGGCGGCTTTTTTGGCAGCCAAGGGGCCGGGCTGCCAGGCGGGATTATGTCAGCCAGCGGCCCCGGCATTAGACACTTCATTAGAGCTAATCTGTTTAGCAGTGGGCAGTGTATGTAAACTTCACAGGCCATTTGCGGCACCTCTTCGCCCCCTGGCCTGGCCTTCAAAGGGCAGCCAGGCCGAAGCTGAGTGACAGGCCGTCTCATCTGCCGCACACGGGTGTCACACAATCAGGAGCTCCCAGCTGAAACACAAGGCCCCGACAAACACACACACACTTACACACAAGGAAGGAAGTCACAGAGGAATGACCCTGAATGACACAGGGGTCAGTGTCTGAACAAAACTGGAGAGGGGGGGGTGTTATAGACTGCTGCTTCTAAATGTGATTGTTCGTGTGTATGTTAAATATAATGGTGGGATCTAAAGATGGAGGGTGGCCTGGTAGACCTTTCCTCCTTGTTTATGTCAATGAGTTAAGTATGGCACACATTCTGTCATGGATACATGGTTGAGTCTTTTACAGGGCTTCCATTCTTATAAAAGGGGTGAACATAATTTAAAAAGTCTGAAAACCAAGCAGCAAAACTATCCGAAACCACTTTTTTAAACTTGCAAGACATATCTCTTATTACCTTACAATGTTGAAGCAAAAATAGAATGCAGCTCCTTTAACACTGGCCAAAGTGGAATCAGTTCAAATTTGAGATCGCAAATCAAATGTTAGAAATAATTAAACTTACTCCAGACCTTGACTATAAATGAATGCAGAAACATTAACCAGTTTGAGGCTGATTGATTACTACTGTCTCATTCTGTTCCGAGCGTGATACTACAGACTTTCTTCATGTTTTGCTTAACTCACATTTCTGGGCTGTGCTTACTCTTTTCACTCGCATCATTCTGGTTTTGTGATGGGGACAAGCTGCAGGGGATGGAGATAAGTGGCAGGCGCGCAAGGCATTATGGGTAACGTCTGTGAGGGACAGCGTGTCTTGGGTATAAAGGTGACACACAACCGCCATGGGCAACTCACTAGCAGGGGGATTGAAAGAGAGAGAAGAGAAGGGAGAAAGAGAGGAGGAGAGAGAGACAGGGGGAGAGCAGACAGACAGCCCATCGGAGGAAGTGTGATTCGGGCGGCCCAATAATGACACCATTGCCAAACACAACTGACAAGCCACATGGAGAGTGGAAGAGGGAATGCGGAAGACAGGGAGAGGGAGAGAGAGTGAGAGGGGGGAAAGACAAGCAGCAGAGGGGCGAGGGTGTGATGTGACAGCCAAGCATGTGCCAACGGCTGCCACAGAAAGGCCAGCGGCGGCAGAGAGGTGCTGCTGTCTCCCAGAGAGAGAGGGAGAGGAACCGGGGGCACATCCACGCAGAGCCGGCTAAATTTAAAAATGCATCTCTCCATTTTAACATAATAAACCCCGCATTTTGCCACACTCGAAATCAATAGAGAGAGCTGCATATTTCAGCGTGGATGGGGTCAATTAGATTAGAGTAAGAAATAGAAATTGGAGGTAAGGAGAGGAGATAAGAATGAGGGTCCCAGGCCGTGGTTCATGGTCAGTGAAATAATCCCACCAGAGACCCCTGAGACCACTGATTCAAAATCTGAATAAGCTGTTTACCCAATACAGGTGATGTTGTTTGATGTATTTATGTTTACGTTATTAGCAGAAGTAGTGGCCAACAATCAGTGTTCTGCTTGTTGAGTGCTTGGATGAAGAAAAAGGGATTTTCAGGTTATTTCCTCTTTTGCATGCTTTTCAGGATGGACTATGATTTCCATGAAAGTGACAGATGACTGTGGATGTATTCTCCAAGAGAGACAGGGAGGGATACAAGGAGCAGCGGAGGCAGCAACTGGCAGGTAGCGAGGCCTCCCGCCCCACCAGTCACCCCCCCCCCCCCCGAGCACGGCATCCATGCAATATTCATCCTCAGCCAACCGGCAGGATTCACCCCAAAGGTGCATATCGCTCTTCTTCTCCTCTCAATCTGATCCACAACCGCACCGCCTTGTCTCAGCACGTTCAGACAGATCCGTGTCTGTCAAACTCTGCAGTGACGATCAAAATATGATCTGAGGGGGGCCTCCTCTCCAACCCTCCCACTCACTCAAAGAGCAAATGCGCCATTAAAAATGCACATCTTACCAGCTCATCTCGTTTACCTAATGCATATGCATCATACCTCCGGGACCAAGAGAAATGATATTGCAAGCGATACAGAATATCCTTCATCACATATACAATTCAGATTTCTTCAGGAGGAGGCTGGTGATTTTTTTTTTCCCCTGTGCTGCCGAGCAGACTGAACCTTGGGAAAGTGTGAAACAGATGCAGGACTTGTTGAAAGACACCCATCTGGATGCTGCTTCGACTGCCATCTACATACTCTGACTGACTCTCCAACTAAATGTGAAATCAGTTCTGACTTCTTCTGTGAGAGTGAAAAAAAACATGACGCAACGCAGAAAGTTCAGGGTGCTTTCAAGAACCTAAGCAAAAAAAAATGGGCTTGGAATTAACACTGATGTAAACCGCTAGAAATAGACTGAAAAACGGAGGGAGAAATCATTAAGCCTGAACAATAACACACAATCAACTGCTGGGAGATCAGTGGAAGATCTAGTGTCTGTGTGTGTATGAGTGGAGGGTGTTGCCTAAGTGAAATTAATCATTAGAGCTTTTATCTTTTGTGCGCAACCCAATTATCCTTAATTTTGCAATTACAAATCTCAGAATATAAATGAACCCTCTTGGCAATTCCAGTGTTAATGTTGCAGTGCCCTTGCATACACAAGAAGAACAACAACTGAGAGCAAAGGCCTATTTTTAGTGTTGTTTCTTCCTCCAAAGTAAAATCCACATTTACTCTGGGGCATATGGATGATCCTCTTTGTTTAAAGTCTATTCAATAGTTATGGAGGCAAAGACATCCTTCTGGAAAGAAATCAATGGACCTGATGTTGGAGGGCGGTATTAAAATCCAACAATGACCAGATCTGCACAGAGCTGTATTGAACCGAGAGAGGCATACAGGGACGCCCTGATCAATAGAAACAACCACACACACACACACACACACACACACACACACACACACACACACACACACACACACACACACACACACACACACACACACACACACACACACACACACACTCTCTCTCTCTCTCTCACACACACACACACTGAAAGGCACAACTTGATTGACGTAAGGAAATAAAGGTTAAAACTGAATATTTACAGTAAGATTCCATGGATGAGTGGGTTTTCTAATAAAAGAGTATCAAATGCTTCCCCTTTGTAATACCACAATCATTATAAAATGTAACAAAATCACATACCAAATGATAAGATTACACATGTCGGTAATAAATCATTTACTGATGTATAATAATATATATTATCATGTGTCATTTTCAAAAGATATATTGAATATGTGTTTATAGATAAAATGGCCTAATTGTGTGGTTTTGTCTATTCAAATGATTTAGACTTACAACATCAAGAGCCTTCATCACATTAATGCAACAATCCCATAAAAGAAACCTGGCATAATGATACATGATTGAGATTTTTTTTTAATTATTATTATTAATATGAAGACTTTTTGTATCATGAATGTGGATAAATACTGTATTTTAACAATACAGTATTCTGTTTCTCATATTTGTTATTTTGTTATTTTATTTAATCTGTTCGAAATAAAGATTGAAATGACAAAAAAAAACGAGATATTTATATTTAATTTTTCTGAACTGCCAGAGAATAGGAGGTCACACAATCGTAGGCGTACATTTAAAAGTGGACTCTTTTTAGGCAATCAGAGCAGTGGGATTTGCATCCATTTATCCCCGTCCCTGTAACATCCAACAGACAAACACAACACATCTAAGCCACTAACCTTGCATATAAACTACTAGTTGTAAATAAATCAAGTACCACAAAACATCATATTGCAATACCTAAGTGTATTGTTTTTCTCTTCACTATTAAAAGGTATGACAACATATTTGTTTAATTCAGCTGCATTTCCTTATCTCACCTTACAATCCTAGCTAGCAGTTTGGCTTGTGTGTGTCTGTGTGTGGAGTTTACCTGGGGCTGAAAGACTGGCACGGCGGCTTGCTGTCCTTGTGGCTGTGTGTCCATATCCATGGTGTTAGGAGGCTGATCCTTTACACCTCTGGGAACAACAAACACACAAATACACCTTCTAGTTAGCCGGCTTTGAAACATTTTATCAGCTGGACAAGTGTTCCCTGTTTCACTATTGAGAGCCGGTTACAGCCAGAGTGTCTAGTTTCAGCAGAACTGGATCTCACGTCATGCCGGTGGATTTGACACTCTTTGTCTGGGCCCCTCTCAAGTTGCAGTAGGCAGCTATACTACGGTAATCTGAACAAAGCCGAGATAATGACACTGTACTTCCTTGGAAATCGTTCATGAACCTTTCATGGGAGTTACTGGTTATTCCAGCATGTATGCCGTTGCACTTCATTTTCCGTTTTCTGAGAAAATATAGGTCACAGCGAGGTGAGTGTGTTGGCTACGGGTGTACGGCATGGTGCTGTATAATTGCATGTCCTGGCATGTAGCCTAGAAGCAAACTAATTGCATAAGATTCTCCACCACCGGTTGCTTGGCTTATTGCACACTTACAACTATCAGTGCCACAATATGAAATGTTACCTGGTTTAATAATTGACACAAATCTCAAAAAGTATGATGCAAAACTTATATTCACACGTGCAATTAGCTTCTATATTATTCCAGAGACTCCAGTTAACTCATGCATGTGGGATGGTTTTGACAGACTCTAGAATCACTTCCCATGCACACTGTATGCACATAGTACGGTTACATAGACGAACAATTAACACCAATTTACACATTATATATTGAATGCATAATAGCAAACATGTGTTATCCCCACGGAAATGCATATCTTAGGTGTGCTGTTTGCATTTAAGCAACATACAAATGTAAGCTATGGAAGTGTGTGCACACATATTGTCTGGGATGTTGTGCTGTTCACATGTGGGCATACAGTGCACGCATGTGCATCCGCGTACATTCTGGGTCAAAGTATTAACGAGCAGAATGTATCGACAGAGGCAGAAAAAAAAAGCTTGGACTTTGCATAATCAGTAGTATGACTATAGCATATAGGAATATCTACCCATGCTGATTCTAGTGTAGGCTTTTATGATTCTGCTAATATCTAATGTGTCTTATTTACATGGCTTCTCCACGTGCATGCTAATACCCACATTCATTTCCACACAAAAGCTAAATGGGACACAACACTCTCCACAGTGGGACATTTGCATGTTTTTCCACTAGAGTGAAGGCCGTCTGTCTGCGGATCTGTCAGTCAGTCATTTGTGTTTTACTAAGTGTCTCCCGTCTCTGTCGCCTCAAACCTCCCCGGCCAATTAAAAGTCCCCTGGTACAATGGAGAGGAGAATGGCAGCGAGGAGCCGTCTCTCCCCTGATGTTGCAGTCCCATGCACTAAAGGTTAATAATGCTAATTAGACATCTGCAATATACATATGCATATATGTATGTATATAAATAAAAGCATGTTGAGGGTCTTTAATATGTGCCTGTAAGAAAGCATGTGTATGTGTGCGCTTGAGCATGCAAGAATTTAGCAGATAGTGGGGTTGTTTATTTTGGATTAGCTCAGCTTTTCTTTCCGGGGCTCGCTGGCCTTCATGTGAGCTTTGAAGCTGGTGGAAAGAACTGTTTGCACAACACTATTTCTCCTGGGAGTGCATTGACTATATTGGGAATATTGTTTATTCGGAAATTAACATTAAAAGCTTGTTTCCGACAAGTTTAAATCAATTTGAATGTAAAAAAGCGTTACAAATAATAAGGATTTTTAGCTGGAGGCAAAAAGGAAAACTAGAAAACAGGTTTAATATCTGAACAAGAGCCTTTTGGTTCTTATTATTTTACTTAGTAAACCAACTAAAGGAAAATAATCTTTTAAAAGCCAACTATTGCCATGGCTTGGGTAAAGGTCTAACTCTGGTAAGGCTGCCCTAATGTACCAATGACACCAGACTAAGTGTTTTTTCCATATTAATGCATTATTTTTAAATTAAAATAATATAAATAAATAGGGAAACATAAATGTTTTTATAAAGCCTATACAGAGAATTGTCCCAATTTGAAGGCGAGAGTTTGTACCGTGTTAGGAATCAAATGCATCTTCAAAATCACTTTTACTTGTTGTTCCTATACTGAAATTTAATTTCCCTACACAAATAAACATACGATTCCAGTCACACAAAATACTCTGCGCTAATCTGCTCATTTCACAAAATCACTAACGTTTTAAACACATTGAAATGAATGAGTCTACTCATTTTGGTTATAAAGTTAACTGTCACATATGAGTTCATCTCAATAAATGTATCTTCACATAAAACATTACTGTTTGGCACTTCACCACTGGCATCTCAAAGGGAAATTGTATTGGCTGTTGTTCGCAAATTAGTTTGTTCCCAAGATTGATAACTACAAATAAACAGCACCATAACAATGGTTTGTTGACGGACCATGGTGACGGAATCATTTTAAGGAAAAATCTTATTGTTGGTGATTATATTCTGTCAATTGTTAAAAATTGATTTTTTATTTCTAATCTGCAAAATTCTAGTAAAACAGAAAGCACATACTTTGGGCTTCAATATGTGTTTTAATTTGGATTCAAGTTCAATTAAGACAATCTTGAGACATCCTGGATATCCATAAGGACTAGGTGAAAACAGGGCCTATCAGACAGAAGCTGAGTGGAAGGGTGTCGGGACATTTTGATTAGGGTGTCACAGGGGACTTCACAAGTCACCCAGCCAGGCGGCCTCCTGCCTCTTGAAGTGATTCTTTGCACTTCAGCCGTGTGTTTTTTTAGATTGGGGCTGGCACCCTTACTCCTCTCCCTAACCCTCCTGTGTTTCTGACTGTCTATGTGTCAAAATAACCAGGGGGCGTCTTTGCGTTCTTTCGCCTCCCACATCCCACGTTAACGAGATCAATTAAGACTGCCGGGTTAGATTAACACACACCAGGAAACGGCACAATTAACGGAGCTTACTCAATCAAAAGAGGCAGGGTCAGGCTCTCAGGGCTCCCTATTCACACACAGTTCAAGTCAGTTCAACCCATCAAAAGCAAAGCATAGTCCTAGTGAGCCGAGGAATCAAACACACAGATGTATTTAAACTTTCATCATGTGAACCTTAAAGCTACCAAATCTCCCTCTCTTCAAACCCACTCCGCTGTTTACACTATTCTGCAATCAACTCTGATCCACAAAAGATCCTGCTCTCATCACAGAGAGGAATTTTTGACTTCCAAAACATTTGGTTGGCACAAGCAGCAGTGGGAACTCAATGTACCAGTCTACCCGCGAGAAATGGTGGTGGGCTGGTTAGTGTTTTATCAGCAGAGGGGCAGCAACTGCTAAAAGCTGCACTAACTATTGATAGATGCATGTCAGAGACCAGTGCGGAACGTTGTTCCGAGACGGCTGCAAATATACAACAGGATAGAATAATGTAAGAGTAAAAGTGAGGTAGAGAGAATCAATACAGTACAGGCCTACTATGTGGACACACATTATTCTCATATTACATATTTTTGTTCCTGAGTTTTACCATCTAGACTCATATTTAAGTTCCTTTGTTGTAATTTTTTCGGCTGTGAAAAAGTCCCAATTGTGCTGACCGTCTAACTATTGTAATACTGTACTTTATTACAAAAGAATGTCTACAAATTATCCCCAATGGTTCTCAGCATTTCCATTGCAGTTAGGCTGACAGGTGTGAATATATAATTTCTTAGTACAATGGAGCAACAGAGCTAGCAAGATCACATTTTACCTCTCTGATAAACTGATGGTAACTCTCCCATCCAGACCACCAACCACTCGGTGTAAACAAACACTGTTTTCTGACTGCGTTCCGTCTAACGTGCGACTCCAGCCCGACATTCTCACAGCAGGCCCGTCACACGAAGGTAATTAAATGGAGGAGGGAAGGGAGAAACTGAGGCAGGCAGAACAAGACGAGGAAAGAAAAGGATATTAACAAGATTCAGCCATTTTCTGTGAACATTCTTGTTTGTTCTCACACTTCCAGCACACATTTGTTCATTTGCTTTTGTTTCCTTACTTTCTACACTTCTCCAACTCTCCCCACTTCTTATCATGCTTTTATTTGTCTGTAATAAATATGCTCTATCGCCAACTGCACTGTGCAAAACTCTGCTCACCAAGAAGTAGACTTTAGGTAGTTTGGTCTGTTGTTCCCTTGAAAACCATAAAATGCTGGGCCCAATAAAAAAAAAAATGTCATTAAAAAAAGGCAACTCCAACGATTTCAGTATTGCACTTTCATAAAGTCGTGGAACTCATCTGATGACATCATCAGGGTTATAATTTCAGACTTTGGAGAGCCCCCTGAAGAACCGTCAAGGTACAACAGAGATTATACAACGGCTCTAACAGGAGGCCAAGAAGTACTCCTCATGACGGGTAAACTGAGCTTCATGAATAATACCTCATTCACACCAACGGCGTTTCAGGGCCGGTTCGGAGCTGGAGCTTGAAAAGCACCGGGTTTTCCTGTTCACACATTGTCCGGTTGGAGCAAAAGTACCGCATACGTCACGCTTACGTCGAGGCGGGGGCAGGGGCAGGGGCGGGATCAACTCCTGAACAACAACAAAAGCCTGCGTTGTATCCAGTTTGTACACAACGATGGAGAAACGTAACAAGCAGCAGTGGTCCACTGAAGAGACCTGCTACCTACTGGGAATCTGGTCTTCCGAAGAGGTAAAGAGGAAGCTGGAGCACAATCGGCCATTGTTGTTGTTGGTGTCAGCTGTGAGGGGTTTCCGCGCGGTTTGGCTTTATGAAGCAGGCACGCAAACGGTTACGTCATGACGCAAACGATGACGCAATGATGCAGCACCAGTCAGACTCTGGGCAGTGTGAAAAGAGCCTGAGCTAAACCGAAGAACCGGTTCTGAACCTGAAAAGCTCTAGCACGGAGCTTGAACCGGAGTTGCGTTGGTGTGAATGAGGTATAAGTGGAGAGCCCTTTCAAGTCAACTTCTCTTGATTTACAAGAGAAGTTGACCCTTGTTATCATATTTAGAGAAAACTCCCT